GTTCATTGACTTTTTTTAAAAGTCCATGAATTAAAGAGTTTACCAACCAAATTAGTAGGAGTGGGCATAAAACCCGAACCGGTACCGAATCGTCCCGTAATGGTACCGAACCGAATACCGGGTATTTAAACGGTTCTATAGATTTTTATCCCGTACCAAAACCGTACCATTTGAAACGGGTACGGGACCGGTCTTAGATTTTGAGAACCGAAAAATACCGGACCGAACCGTTCGTAAATAATGCATTTGAATTTTTTATATTTTTCAATATCAATAGATCTAGATCAACAATTTTATACCCCAAGTATGTATTCATGTGTCTCTAAGATATCTAAAATGTGTTGTTTATATATATATATTGTTAGTTTTTCTTTTTAGATAAATTATGTTATATTTTGGTATGTATTGAAAGATATTTAAAACTTTAGAAATCATTAATGATTATTTATTTCTAGTAATATAGTGTACATGACTTCTTGTTGTATCATGTTTGTGCATTTTTTACAACTTAATTAATACGGTTTAAATCTTAGCTTTCAAGGTTCAACTATAAATTAATTTAGAACTACGAAGTAATATTTAACCTAGAATGACGAAGAAGAACGTTGAAGATTTCTATTATATTCAACGATTTGATAATATTCGTTTTTATATTTTCAAATGAACTTAGTAAATTAAAAATGATATTTATCTCGTGTGTCATCGTTTTGTTATATTTTTTCTTAGTTGTGTTGCACTATTTGTGTATTTCTGAATTTTAGTACTAGGTATGCAATTTCTTGTATTTATTTCAACATTTCATGTGAGTTGGTTGGTGTGATGATATCAACTAATTACAAGATTTGTTCAAAAAATTTAGCATGTGTTTGACATTGTACCGTACCATTTTGTACCGTTCCGAAACGACATGGTACCGAACGGTTCTATCCTTGGAACCGGACCGTACCGGACCGTTAAAAATCTCACGGATACATTACGAATTTTACCAATTTACCGGGCCGTTCGGGACCGCGCCCATCCCTACAAATTAGTGAAGTGTTCTAATTTTTCTTTGACGCAATACAAAGTACATTAACTCTGAGTTCAAAAAGTACCTCAATTTATGTAACGCTATACTACGGCTCTATCCAAGATTAGTATTTTTTGACATGTTTATTAATAAAGTGATTGAAAAAGTAAAAATTATGGTTGAAATTTGAGAGGTTGACCTTTAACAAATGAAGTTGATTTTTCACAATCACGTTCTATACTAAATTTAAAAAAAAATATTGTCAATGTCTTTATGCATTCAACATCCAACATTTACAACAAAAATACACTCCTAATTTTATAGCGATAGACTATATATTTAGAGAGAAGTGAGAGATGAAGAGATTATAATTAATATTTCTCAACCCTTTAGAACTAACGACAAGGGGAGTATTTATAGAGGAAATGTGAGGTGGATTTTCAGGCTCTAGACCTGGGAGGCCTGGTACAATAATGGGTCGCTAATGGGCTGATTACATGAATTCATTAAGCTAAATTTAAAAAAGAAGTTGCTAATGGGGCCCTAGGACGAGGGAGCCTTGGCCGAGGAAGGTCTGTCTGAGGTGACCATATGTTGTTCTATTTCCCTATTCTCGAGCTTCTGGGTTGTCCCGTGGAGTCCACCTCGTCTGGTCGAGGAACCATCCGAGTGGCAGATGTCTTGTGGTATTTGCCATCTATCAGTGTGTGGGCCATGGGGTTTGAGCCCATAAACTCTATCAGGAGCCCCCCACTATCTGAGCCGAGAGGTATCGAGGTGAGAGGGAGTAGAGCATTCTCGTGTCCTTATTCTGTTGAATCAAAACCTGTGGCCGAGGCGGTCCTGAATTTTCCAGCTCTGGACAGGGCACCGTGCTCACGCTTCACACCCGAGTTGTGATCTGGTTCCTTGGCCGAGATGCGTCGCAACAGAGGTTTTCATCATCAAGGGGCTACTTTTGTTGGTTTTCACTGAGGTGGAGTCCCCACAGTCCCCTACTCCTTCAAGCTGAGAGTGGTGTTGGGTGTGAAGGAGTAGAAAGTATCTGGAGCCGAGGTGGCACCCTCGAATTCCTCAATAATCCAACCTTCTCGCGATCCCTGACCAAGGCAACCCTGTGGGAGAATCCTTAGACGAAGGTTGCAGGCCGAAGGTTATCATCGATGGATTTTGTACGAGGGGTGTTTGACTTTAGGCCCCCCCGACCCGTAAAAGATGTATTTGGATGAATGGAAGCCTAAGCGAGAACATCCTATTGAAGACGTCAAGGGACCGATGGTGACACCGTTAGGTGTGAGGAAATGTGGCCAATGCTAATACGGCCGTCGTGTGCAATATTTTGTTAAGGACGCGTGCAGCCGTTGTGCACCAGCTTGTATGGTAGTGGGGCACATGGCACCCGATGAGTGGCTGCAAGTTTAGGTGACCATTGATCTGGCCACTGCAGAAGCGCCACGTGTAGTGCCTGTTGGGGGCTCCTTATAAATACCCCCCTCCGAGGCACACCTTCTTACTTTGGATTCGAGAGATAACGAAGTGCTGCCAATTTCTATAGAGAAAACGTTCATCACGTCCTACAAATCTTCAAGGCCAGTTCCTTGTATGTTCTTCGTTTTTTATTTATACTTTGCTTCTAGGTGGCTAGATCTAGTGTTTGTAAGAAAAATCACTTAGATCCCATAAACCCTCACTTAGGATTGTTTGTTTTAGATATGTTGTCCCCTGACCCACGAAACGTCCTCGGGTTCCCTATTGTGCCAGAATCCCTTGACGAAGAGTATTTTCCATTCGACGAGGACGCCACGTTTCCTAAACCAGGGTACCCTTGAAACTAGTTGAGGAGTTCAACGCCAAGACGGAGAACACTAGTGAATGTCGTACATAGGACGACCGGGAAGAATCAGAAGCTGATGATGATTCGGGGTCCCCAGGAGGTGTCGAGGGGGCGTCTACTTCGGCCAATATTCCATGCCTGCCGCCTGTATCTTCCACCTGAGACGTTGCGGCCAGGGGGCGAATAAGGGTCGTAGATCATGATGGTGCCAAGGGATGGGGTCGGGCTTGTCGCGCCAAGGGATGGGATCGGGTTTGTCGTGCTTGGATCTTATGAATATGCGCATCATTCGGCCAGAGAGTACGACGAGCGATCTTCACGTTGCGCAGATGTACGCCGGTCCCTATGGTCGAGTGAGGGCTCCTAAGCCAACAGACAACTTGCTGACACCGCCTTAGGGGTACTTCGGTGTGTATCCCATGAGTTTTACCAAAGGATTGCGATCCCCCCTCCATACCTTCATGATTGAGTATTTTAAGGAAATCGACCTATTGTCGGCTCTGTTAACGCTGAACAGTTATTCCTTGATGGTGGGGTTCTTTATTCGATGCGACGAGTTGGGGATTACGCCGTCACTCCAGCTGTTTATGAATATATTTAAGATTGGCTGGGGAGGCCATAAAAACTGTGTCAGCTTCGCCAATCTTCAGCAGGTGAAGGGGAAGAGAACTTTCAAGGACCTCCTTACGTCCATCCATGGCTCGAAAGCCAAGTTTATATTTGTGACCCTCAGCGATGCGGTACAATTTCCTCCTGATCACTCCAGGATCTTCCAAGTTCATTCCAAAAGTGTATGAGTATGAAAAATATTACAAAAAGTATATAAAAAATTATTTTGAAAACAAAATAATAATTTTTTGGTTGTAAGTTCAGTTGAAGAAAAAAAAGAAAAAAAGTGTATGGATAAGCATTAAGACAGAAAGAAAAAGTAATTAATGTATTTTGAAAGGATGAAAATTAAATCACAAAATTGAAACACCAACTACATACGTCCAGTGGTACTAATTTTAAAAAAATACCGTATGGAAATATGATAGCCATTGACAATGAAAAAATTAAAAGTAAAAAAGGAAAAGGAAAAAATTAAGAGTAAAAACGAAAAAAGGAAAATAGATAGAGGATGGGGGAGTGCACTAGAAAAGTGAAGAGAGCTAACAACTAAAAAACGAAAAAGACAAAAAGTAAGGAAGGTGGGGGAGACAAAAATTAAACGGTACCGTATTTAGGATCGATATACCATGCGCATGCTATACCGATCTCACGGTATAATTTGCCGAGGAAAGCTTGATGACTTTGCTACAAAGTCAATTAAACCATATGATTACCAACTGTCAACTAGCCAGTGGCCTGCGGCTATTGGTAATTTTGTCCTGTTGAGATGACTGTGCGTCACAAACTCACATTCAAATTCTAAGATTTTTTTTGAAAGAAAACTGATTATATTATAGCAATAAAACTTAGCAAGGTTATTCCACCCGTACGACGCCAAACCTCTCAATAAGGCTCCGCATAGCCAAAAGGCCCTCCCACTCTCTGACTAGACATAGAATAGACCACCTTGAAAAGAGCGAGACTATTCGCTAACCAGGGGCGACCATATGGGGAGTTGGCCAAGGCAAATGCCTTGGGCCTCATATTTTAGTGGGGCCTCAAAAAAATTATTTATAGTATAAATTATCTATTTTAATTTTAGTAGTTTGGAAGCACAAATATCATGTTTTTGATATATTGGTAGTCCAAAGATAGATAAAGTGATTTTAGCTCTAATTAAATGGTAGGCTCGAATCAACTACTCCAACTAGCCACCATATTAGTGAATTATTGAAGTAATGTTTAATTAGTTTGATGGTCGTAGTTATTTAGTTATTTTTTATTTTCACTGATTATTATTATATTTGTGAAATTTAGCTTTTTGTTGACTGTTTTATTTTTTCTTTTTGAAAGTATGTTACTGGGGAAAATTTAGAAGTACTACTAAGATTGTCTCATATCAAATATAGTAAAGTTTGTGTGACTTTAAATCAATCTTACTTTATTCTTACTTTATCATCAATTCAATATCAAAATCTTTTGGGAATAAAACTTGGTTGTTGTTGTTGTTGATGGCTATATTGTCATAAAAGAGTTAACTATATTCTAAAATTAAAATGAAAATGACAACTTTTTAAATGAAACGTCCAAAAGAGACAAATGATAATGTTTACTTGGGGCGGAGGAAGTGAAAGTTTTGGTCCATTTCGTGTATGTTTACATTTAAAATTTTTATTATTTTGATGTTCACTACTCTTTGAATATGCATTTTTTCTTTTATTGTGTATTTTTATTCAATTTATCTTTTTTGTTTTCTTTTGTGTTGTAAAAATCACATTAATATAATATGTCAATATTAAGTGTTTTTCGCCTGGGGCCTCCGGAGTTCTAAAGACGCCGCTGTCGCTAACCATGTGAGAGCTTCGAAGCTTTTAACGGCCAAACACGCCTTATCGCTTCCACCCACCACTTTTGAGCAAAAAATAAAAAGCAAAATGACAACCTACCTCTAAAGTTCAAACTGAAAACAAAAGCAACATGATCAACCGAAAAGAAAAGAGCGTAAAAATAATAAAATGCTTCATGGACTCCTGCCTTATTTATTTCCACCTGCAGTGGTAGGGGAGCTGTCAGATCTGTGTCTGGCGAGCTACAAACTTGTAGCTTGCCTCCTCCCCGTTTTTCCCTGGCATGCACAATCTCCATCTCCTCCCCCGTCTGGTAGTCTTCTGAATCCTCCACACGTCAGCACTTTTGCTCGAGTTTCCCTCTCTCTTTTGCGAGGACCCGCCTTCCAAGATGCATGTTCGCTTGCCCTCTTCACTATTTCCGTGTTTAGACTGGCTGCCCGAGTTGATTCCTTTACATGCTAGGACGAGCCATTTATTCTCCTTCCATTGCTTTGCCCCTTTTGCTGCCCTAAGCCAAGGGCTGAAAGGCCTTTCTCTGGTTAGCTCATGACCCCTTTTCTTACGGGGACAATGGCTCTCAGCATGAACTATTATTCCACACAAAAAACAGAAACTAGGCAGTTTCTCGTAGCAAAACCTGACACAGAAATTGACCCCTTCCTCTTTTTGGAGAAATAGTTTCCTTTTCAGGGGTTTCCCCAGATCGATTCGGACTCGAATCCTCATAAAAGATTCCCACCTCTCAGAGAAATTGTTTTCATCCACTCTTATAAAAGTCCCCAAAAAATTCTCAATGTGTTATGCATTGTCTATGGTGAAATAGCCCCTGGAATGTCATGAACTTGAATCCAGAACTCTGCTTTGTTCAGCGGAATAGACATAGAGGGATATCACCTTCTTTAAGTCTACTCATAACAATTAAGTTCTGGTCGAAAAGCCATGGTCCCTCATCTGCTACCCTATTCATATCCTCTTCATTATAGAATTGAAACACATATCTCCTAGGACCGATTTCAGTTATAGTAACACCCTTTTCAGGTTTCCACACAGACGCCATAATATCTCTAAATTGAGTGAAACGTACTGACTTTTCTGATGTAATTGTTCCAACCAGGGTCAGATTGTGCTTAGAAGAGTTTTGTGTCATAGGCTCTACAATTAGGAACTCATCTTCCTCTTCCATCTCCAACAGTCTGCACACCTGTGCTAACGTTTCAACATCTTCATTATTGTGTCTGTTCTCCATTTTCGTTTTGTCAAAACAAGTTCAGCCCTCTCACTATGCCGGTAGCCGAGCCGGTGTGTATTGTAGCCTCCGTGTATGCTATCTTTCGCTTGTAAATCGCTGCCTTCACCCCAATTGCTGAAGACCAGATTGCCGATTGTGATATCGTCCAAGAAAACCTGCGAGCAACGCTAGTAGCCGCAGCCGTAACCCTAGGCGAAAGAGCCTCCCGTCCGCTGTTAGCATATAAGCATGCATTTTAAAGATATTCTTATTCTTTACGATAAAAGATTGTCCAATTCTAAGATTAAAAGCTAGCATAATTATTATGCGAAGCCTAATGAATCAAAATTAAAATTAAAAGTTAAGATTGTATTCCGCCCTAAAGTAATGTTGGCATGAGTAGTATGAGAACTTTACTTTGGAACACATATTTAATGAAAATACTCCTTTCGATCTCAATGCACTTGATACTATACGAAGTGGGCGGCTGGCATGAAAGTTGAAATCATTTGCATTTGGGTATCAATATATTGAAATTTTGTGTGGATATGATATGCCACGTCTTAAGAAAGTATTAAACCCACCCGTAGCTTGGACCTTCCTCCTCAAAGAGCAAAACGAACGTCAAAATAGAGCCCAAAAGCATCTATTTTAGGGAAAATCAACCAAAACAGAATGAGTATTACATAAGGGTACTTCTCTATTTTACGGTTCCGTTTGGGTCAGATAAATATGCTCAGGTCAGTCAATTGACCCGCTGCTTGCCCTTTTAAAAAAAACTAAGAATCGGACTTGGGTACACACTTGTGTACACACTCGTGTACATGTAGGCGGTTTTTTTTCTCTGTCCCAAACAAAACGTATTTGTCAGACACGAGTGTCTAAACGTGTGTACACAAAGTGGGTGTACCTTTAGATTTTTTAAAAAACTAAACTCTTCTTTCCACACATGTTTTCCATTTTTTTCTCATGAATCTTCCATTGGTTCCGCTACTCACCTGTTTTCACAATTACTACTTCCCGTCATCCTTTCTCTCCACACTAATAGTAATAAGTTATTACTATTAGTGTGGAGAGAAGGGATGACGGGAAGTTACTACTATTACTAATAACACATTACTATTTTACCACTTCATCAACTTCACACGGAATAAACGAATGATGATCGCGCTAATATTACGAAGTGTCAACGATGGTGGGTTTACTAGTTCTCCTCCCATTTTACATGTTTTACTTTCCCTATAATCTACGTCATTTCACTTTATTATACTCAAATCTTAATTACAACTTTTACCTTTTCAATCACTTTATTAATAATTGTGTCAAGTTAAAGTAGGATACATAAAATGGGACAAAGGTAGTATTAGTTAGGCAACTATAGCTTATAATAGGGCTGGATCAATCAGTTGGGTTTAACCGAATCCAATCCAACGAAACTGAAAATTGATACTTCGGTTTGGTTTAGATTCAAGTAAATCGTTTGATAATAATTTGCTCGAACAGAATGGTTCGGTTTTAAATCGAAAAACCGCAAACCGAACCGAACTTGTAATATTTATAAAAAATTTGTATTTGTCTTCGGCCTTCATCTTAGGATATACTCCGTAAATAAATAACATAAATATAAAAAATACATATTTAGCATATACTCCCTCCGTCCCCCTAACAATGGGACAAGAGGGAGTGATACGCAAATTAATAAAATGTGATTTATGTGGTTGGTATTGAATTGATAAAGTAAGAATAAAGTAAGAATGATTTAGAGTCACACAAGCTTTACCAAATTTGGTATGGAACAATATTAGTAGGATGGACCAATTAGGTAAAATGGGACAATCATAGCGGGACGAAGGTAGTATCATTTTACTTTTACGCATTTCATACATTCATTTTGAAAAAATTAGCTAATAACATATACTCGTATTAGTTATATTTTGTGTTCTACCTGCACGAAAAAGATGTTTGGTGATGATAATAGCACATTGCATTTATATCAATTCCAGTTAAACCACAGTACACAATATACATTTTACATGATTATGTGAATGAAACTGTAAATTTTACTACATTATACTTTTACCACCAACTCATTTAGTTTTATTTGAATATTTTGTGTGATATTATACGTAACAAATGCTAATCAACTATAATCCTATTTGTAATGGTTGAAAAGATGCTAGATGTTTTCTTTTCAACAGTCTTATTAAGACAAATTAGGGGTTAGTTTATAATATTTTATTATTTCTTTTACTTCCCTTCACCTTTTATTTAAATAATAAATACAAGAAGATGAGATGGACTATTATTTTCATGCTCTTTTTCTAAAACACAGAACTTGATTAAATAAAATAACAAACATATTAAACCAAATTATATTGAACTAAATTGAATCTAATAATTTTCACTTTCGTAATCCGAACTTCTAACCGAACCAAAATTGAAATCAAACCAAAACACAAATGATTTTAGTTTGTTACAATATCTTCTAAACCGAATAAACCGAGCCGAAATCAATGAAAAGCAAACTGTGAACCAAATTGTCCACCCCTAGCTTATACTACCTCTGTCCCAAAACATTGGCCAATTTGACTTTTCTTGATCAATAATGTTAAAATTTAGACAATGATTTTATGTATTATATTTGTGTGTAATTTATAAATTTTATACTTTCAATAAAGATTTTTTAATAAAGAATATGTTCATATATTTTCATATTTTAAATAATTTTGTATTAAAAAATATCATTGATCAAACTTGATCACCAAGAAAAGTCGAATTGACCAATCTTTTGGAACGGAGGGAATATTATAGTTCTTGGAAAGTAAGAAAGTAATAAAATAATGGTTTATACTCTATCCATTCTTCCCACTTGCACTTTTTAGGCATTCGAGTTAAAGGTTCTCATTTTTTTAAATAATTAGTACTTTTAAATGATAATTTATTCATTAAATATTAAAAATAATACATCTATAACATCATAATATTATCAATGACCTCATTATATTATATACCCATCAAAATATTCTTTATGACATACTCAAATTACCTTATTTAATTATTTTCAAAATAGTTGTGTCATTTTGTCATGAAAACCTTAAGCGAGGACATGAAGTTTTAATAGACATGAATATCACTAATAATAGAGAATGGACATTTTTTTTAAATTTCCAAAATTTGATTAATATTACACTATTATTAAACCCAACTCACCTGCTATAAGGATCAATTGTCTAAATGGAGTCAGTGACCAGTGGCTCAATTAGCATCGCAAGCCATAGTGACCAACGACCACCACCGAGCAGTTACAAGAACAACAGTCCAGTGACCTAGTTTCAACCATCTTCGATACCCTGTGTAGTCATTGTCGCTGCCCCGACCAGAAACTACTATCCATTATGATCTTTGATGGATAGTCTACCCGGGGGTATGTATCCGAAGGGTTACTGCGGGGAGTAACTAGAGAGAAGTCAGAGCAAAAATAAGAGAGAGAATGTATTGCTGAGAATGTAATGAGCGATTTTTGCTTGGCCTACAAATGGGGAAAGGGGGCGCTATTTATAGTAGTAATAAATGCCATATAGAGACACGTGTCATCATTCTGGTGGTCGAGGGGTCACCTCAACGGGGTGGCACTGGCATTCGCATGTGGCCGCATTAAATGCGGTTGTTGGACGTGACGTCGTACTTGGTACGGTGATTCAGGCGCATGTGGAGAGGATCTTATGTCGAGAAAGGTGTCCTCGGTTGCAGATGATTAGCTGAGGGCTCTGAGTACCGGGAACCTCCTTAGTGCTGAGGGCTACTGATTTTCGCCGTTTTCTCCCAGTAACTTTGTTTGCTTGAGTTGGTCATCCTGTGAGAATTTGGAGCCTTCGGCCAGGGGGCCGAAGGCATCCCCAGTGTGCCACGTGGGTTGCTCAGTACTTGGGGCGCTGTGATTTGGGTCTGTTGTGCTTCCTGGACCTATTGGGCCTCCCTTAGAATAGTAGGAGTCTATGGGCCGGGGGTTCCTGGGCCATATACTCCATCAACCTTCATGCGCAGCCAGTGACCATTTGTTTACGACCTAGGTCGATCACAGTAAAAACACAAATTTCACCCAAATCTCACATCCGCCACCCTACCAATACTGCCATCACACTGCCAATGATGTCTCTGAGTTCATCGCCTACTATCCTCTCCCCAGCCCCGAATTGTGTCCTCTTTGCCTGCCCAAAACCCCCTGCACTCGCCCCCTCTCCCCTCCCTTGCATCACTGCATGTACTCCGAAGCCTAGCAGCCCCATCCTAGCCTCACATACCCCATCCCTCGCCCTCACACGCCAGAACCCTAGCTACGCCCCGTGTCTTCCAAACCCTAGGCTTCTAGCCATTGGCACATCGTTCACCCTCACGGGTAAGGATTGACCGGGTCCCGAGACGGGACTGGGCAGGACTAGGGTCTCGAGCTGCATGCTCGGTACCGGCCCAGGTTTGTAACGGGACTGGACCGGACCGGGCCGGGACCGGGTCAATATTTTTTTAAATGGCTTTTATAATTAATTACTACCCCCACCCCCAACCCTACCCCCCCCCCCCCCCCTCCCGAAACCACCCAGCCCCACCCACCTAGCCGCAGCCCAAAGCCAAAAAATCAAAAAAAAAAGTTTGGTGCGGACCGTCACCATTTTCCCTATCCCGTAGCCCCCTATCCCCGCTTCGGACCCCCTAGTCCCGGTTTGGCCTGGTCGAGCTTGCACAGTGGCGAGCCGGACCGACCTGTTACAGTCCATCACTCCATCCCTACTCACGGGAAGGGGGGATTAGGTATAATTCATCTAATTCATTTCTTTTCTGTCTTATTTCGAATACGGTCTTATATTTATCCAATCAAAAGCTATACGTAACATTTCTGTCACTTTTTCAAATAAAATACTTCGTATATTATAATAATGCGAAATTTCATAAATAGGAGTAAAAATGTTTGAACATTCCAAAATAAAATTGTCATGTTTTATTTTCAAAATAGGAGTAATTACTGCCAAGTTTGAAAAATTATTTCACGTTTAAAGTCTGATACTATCAAAACACGACAGTAATTAATCCTATTTTGAGAATAAAAACATATAATCCTATTTTGGAATATACAAACGTTTTTTATCCTATTTAGAATAATTTCCCTATAATAACATATTAAATTTTGATATGATTTTTATTAATAACAATTGAATGTATAAATGGTTAAAGTCTTGCATTAATAAACATGAAATCAAAACATTGCAAATAAATAAAAATAGAGATAGTACTCTGTATAAATCATTACTAGCTACCTAGTTTCTCTTTTCGGTCATCCTAAAATTTTTTACAATTTACATGTAAATAATTAAGGCGTGGTTCATATTATTTTCTCTCTTCTACACATACAATTACACAATTTCTATTTTGTTACTTCACGTGTTGGTCTCAACAACATCCAAACTTTAGTCCCAAAAAATATTGAGATCGACTAACATGAATCGATACATGATATCCCCACCAAAAGAAAAAGAAAGAAAATAAAGATACAAAAGATAAGCTATGATAAAAAGAATATAAAAAGAGATGAATATACATAAAAATGATAAAATAAAAAGGATACAAATAATGTTTATATATATAAGGATAAAAAACAAGAAAAAAAGATGAGGGGAAAAGATATACGAGATCACTCCTCCACACGAATATCCGCTCTCCACTTAACTCTCTCCAAAGTCATGCCCTCATCCAACCCCAGAAGAAGTATATCATTTCGAACTCCCCTAACTCACATCTGTTTGGATCTTCCTCTCCCTCTCTTCCTTGCCTTTTCTCCACACATCTCAACTCGTCTGACAGATGCATCACTCGGTCTTCTACGTACATGACCAAACCACCGTAGGCGCGACTCCCGCATCTTGTCTTCGATAGATGCTACTCCCACCATTTATCTAATTGTCTCATTCCTCACGCGGTCCTTCCTAGTATGCCCACACATCCAACACAACATGCGCATCTCTGCCACACTTATCTTTTGAATGTGACATTGTCTTCAATAGGTGCTACTCCCACCATTTATCTGATTGTCTCATTCATCACGCGGTATTTCACGTGTTGGTCTAATTTGACAAAATTATAATTGGCAAGAGTGCATTACGGAGAGCACAACTAACTACTTAACACCTTCAACCATTTAAATAGAGAAGACCGTCAAATATGTGTATGTACTTTTTACAAAAAAAAGTCGAATGAATTAACGTACTTTTAAGTAAATCAATTCAATCAAATGCACGAAGTATTAAAAACAAAAAAAATAGTTGTTTTGCTTCCCATGTAATCGTTCGGGATTGCATGGATGTCTAGATGACATTTGTTTATAGTTTTTTTTACTTATAATTTAATTTTCCTTTTTCTTTGTTTTTTTTTCTTAAAAAGATATATGTGTATGCATGCAAGCATATCCTTAAAATTACGGAGTACCACATGCAATGCAATGTAAAACTCGTTAGTGCAGTGTACAATAAGTATCAAGTAGTTGAGGTTCCTAGGTGGCTGGACTGTCACCAGTTGCCACTAATCGCATTGCATATATATGACGATAGCACAGCCACATGGGTTTAACCCACCAAACCCTCTCGTGAAATATAAATTCGGTGCATTAGCCCTCTGTGATTTAAAAAATGCGTCAAACCCCCCTGTGTTATCATTAATCATGCGCCAAACCCCCTCCAAGAACAAATTTAATTTCAAAAAAGATGAAAAATGATTAGTTTTTTTGTATAATTTAGAAATTTTGACAAAGTTACTTACATATTCAACTATATTATTAAAAAACATGATTTCAAAATTGAAAAATTTGTTCTTGAAGGGGATTTTGCGCATGATTAATTAAAACATAGAGGGGTTTGACGCATTTTTTAAATCACAAGGGGCTAATGCGCCGGTTTTATATTTCACGAGGGGGTTTGACGCATTTAACCCACAGCCACATAGATAGATACATACATACATGCATGCATCTCTTCCTCCGTCTTTACTACTCCACGTGTGAAAGCCCACCACCGCTCTCCCCGCGAGCCCTGTACCAAACAATATCAATTACTTAGTACACTTCATCCTAATACGTCGCATTCTTGTAAGTATCCTGCTATACCATCATTAAAACTGTCTCGCATCACATTTTTGTACATCACAAATTCACTTGTACAAACATATCAATTTATATTATTTGTTCAAACAATTTTTATTTATATACTCTTATCACATGAAAGCAAACTTATATTGCATGCTAATGTCTGTTTGAGTAATACATAAACAATCATTTTCCTTTGCCCATCATCTCTGAGTTCCTAAAGTAGTGCATACATAGAAAATGTATATTTAGAGACGACTTGACCACTATATACCTTTTTAATCATAGAGACTTACTTGTGATCAGAAGGATTTGGCATGAGTTCATAGACAATATTTGCAACAGCATCCCTCTTCATCTGTATATTATTCATGAAATCCGCGCTTCATTATCTGATCCCAATTAAACCACATGGGAATAATTAAAAAAGAATTCACTGGCCTGTGTAGCTTCTCCTCTCAATCCAATGTAATGGATTTGAGTAACATCTGCACCAAAACTTTCAGGGAAATGCAAGGTGATATTCCCTACACTCTGGAACTTAGAGTACCTGAATTACCAAAACAGCAGTTCCACATAAAATATGGAAACAGGGCCAGAATCAGCAAATAAAATGGGAAGGAAAAAAAGGAGAAAATAATAACAAAATAAAAGGCTCAAATTTAATGAAAATGTTTCAAATATTTGTTCAGAATCATCTCTCACTCACTAGTTAATTTATTAACTTCTATTACGGAGTATATAAATACTATAGGGTGTAAATATATGCAAGAAATACGGGTTTTAAAAAGTTACTTGTATTTCATTTTTCTTTGCATTTTATAGGGTAAAAGTCTAAAACCAAACATAAGAAAATAACTTTACTTGGTAATCGTTTTCCTTAACTTTTTTAGGGTCCAAACATAGCCTATAGGTTCCCACCAACACATTCCTCAACAAGGTGCTAACATGGTGCATTAACCAACGTAAATGTATACTACAAGGCTTCGTTCTAATATCCCATCGGGCTTCACTCCCTCTGTGTCCATGCCTAGGCGCTAGTCTTCCCACAAAAGTTACTCTCCATAAACACCACGGCTTATTTTTCAGGGAAACAAATCCATGAGCATTCAATATTCAGTGTCAATAACACTGAATAGATAAACTGAGTAAGGTGATTGTAACAGTGCTTATAAAGTCCAAGGGGCAAAGAATATTGACCTTGTTTGATACTCTAAAACGCCTTGTAAATTTTCAGCCAAATCCCACTCCTTAAAAACAAAAATCATTCATGAATAAGAGCATATTTTTATATGAGAAATATTCAACTTTTTAATGATTAACAGCTATGAAACTAATTATTTATTATTGGGATGCTTACATGAAAATTATTCTTTCATGATTTGATTATTTTATAAAAATCATGAATGTTAATCTTCTCCCATAAATGGTTAACATAAACACCTGAACTGGTTGTATAGTTTGAGCATCTGCAAAGTCTATACCCTCTCTGTTAACAAACCTGTAGTTATAAAAAAATGTCAGTGCAGGGGATAAGACTCAGGGTGGGCAAACAGGTCCAAGAACCGTGGGTCAGGTAATACCAGTTCGAGCCAGGCAATGCGTGGTTCCTTTTAAAAAAAAAAAAACTGGCTGGGGCCTGACCTGTTTTAAAAAAATAATCTGGTACTATGAGAAGTTTAACAGGGAGCAGGCTCTAGGGGATGTCATCAACACCACTACTTCTGTCATCCATTCTGCTACAGAGCAAGGCATTGTATGATTTTTTGCTGTGAGAATCTTTTGTATTGTTTTTGTTAATTTGGACTTTGGAGAGACTATTTGTGGATGTGTTTATGCTATCACTGATGATTGTTACCATTTATTTGGTTTTTTGCATGAAAAAAGAACTGAAAAACCTGGACCAGACCAACCCATTTAAATAGGGCAGGTTATGTCTGAATCCTATGATGGTAATTGATGTACCCTGCCCATTACACGGTTACCATGTGAGGGTGGCAGTCAACTAAACTGTTCAAAGGGAGAAAATCTTCAACCACTAAAGCTCTGCCATTTGTATGTAGCGAGTCTTTTGACAAACAGTGGGCCAACTAATTACATACATACAAATTGAAATCCACTATACTGCATTCCTTATACCACTTGTAACACTCATTGTGATGGGTTGAAATCAAGTTAATTTTTATATCATATTAAATAATAAATGGAGATTGACCCAGCAAAATGAGTAGTACACAAGTAGTAAAGGACATGTAGTACAAAGGATTTGAACTTGAGCATTAACCTGTCAATACTGACTTTACAGCGCAAGACATGCCAATCAAAAGGGGAAGAGAGATGAATAACACACTAACACTCTCATCTTAGAAGGACTTGTTCCATCAACACCACCAACAATTGCAATGCTCTTGATTTTAACATCTGAAGTAAATCTGTAATTGTTCATGATTGATTACAACAAGTGAATGCATCCACAACAGTTGCAATAATATTACAAATTAAAAGTTAGTAATTTGAAAATGCAACCAATAATTAGAATCTAAAGTAATGCAAAAGAGAAGTACTCTATTTCTTCACATTCCTCCTCAACAGAGTATATTTAAAAACAAAAACTAAACATTATTAAATTTAATGGGCCACATGATGGTATTAGAAAGTGAACAGAGATTGAAGAAATGAAGAGAGTATTATTCCTTAATCATTGAAAGCACCTTTACAGAGTGCATATAGAGTCGGTTAAGTCATAACAAACTAACAGACTCTAACCGAAGCTCTAACCAATACGGCAATACTAGTCTATCTTGGGTGATTGATGTGAAGTGTCAATCACACCAAGTTTGGCTCTTAGATCAACAAAGCTGGAGCTGGAAAGTGGTTTGATTAATTTGAGATAAAAAGAAGAGGACTTAAGTCAATAAAGATATGGAAAACTAATGAGCATTAGGATACTTATAATAACAGATCAAACATCCAGATGACTAATGAGCATACCCATTAAATGGAAGTACGGAACACAGCTAAACACATTGTAAACAAAGCAACCCAACTAATCAGTACAATTGCAAATAACAGATGACTGTGATTATAGTTCTATCATTTATTTTCTTTTAGATACATCAGAAAGGAATATTTCCATCATTTGCAATGGAGCCAAAGATTCATTATTTTTTGGCTTGAGATTATGATGGAATAAAGCAAAATGGCTCACTAAACTGTCTGCGCTTCTTTGTTATGAAGCAGCCGTCAGTCCATGCAATTTTGGACGGGATTTTCACTACGGGTCATCCGGAAACAGTCTTTCTGTGCTTTAGTACAGGGGTAAGACTGCGTACATCCGACCTCCCCTTACCCCACCGTAGGTGGGAGCCTTTGCGGCACTGGGGTAAATGAAAATGATACATCAGAAAGGAAACAAAATAGCTTATTAGCTCAGAAAATTGAAACTCACGGGATGAAGACAATCAATTCAGGATCACCCTCATTGCTCTCCAAGTAACCCTGTGACCAAAAGAAAAGGTCAGACTGTAGATACCTATGATAAATAAAAAGTAGAATAAATCAATCAAAGGATGAAAAGGGGGGAAAATTCAATGGCTACTGAAGGAGTTGGCAGTAAGTGGAGCGAAAAATGTCTTTACAATATTTTGACATTTAAAAAATATGTTAACACGGATTTCTTAAAGAAGACAACAATTCAAGTATATTTCCAAAAATGGCTTATGAGAACCCTTATAAGTTATGCACAACGTAATTATAAAAAATACGGCTGGCAACATAAAGATCATAACTGATAACAATCGTAAGTCCTAGACATTGCAAGAATCTGAACTTTTCATATGAAACAAAATTCAAACAAATTGAAGCTATTTCCTTTTACTGTTTTACATAATAAATATGTATTTAAATAAACCAAGCACTCATGAAGTATTTGAGCCCTTGTTCTTCCACACAATAAAATATTGTTGAGATTTTATTCAGTAAGCGTAATGACTGCAAAGGGTCAACCTTGAGCTCGATAATCTAATCGAGTCGAACTCATGCTCAACGATATTTAGTATGTAAGTTCGTGAATCCATTCATTTCGAGTATGATGAACATGTTCACTAGCTTGAACTAGAATTTCAAACTCTATGTGTTTAATTCTTAATAAGTCTAATAAAAAAATTCAGCTAATATATTACTGTTAACAAGTCAAAATTGAATTCACAATTATCTTCGATAGGTGAACTATTTCTTTAACCAATGTTGATCTGCTTGTGAGCTTCACAATCTACAGATTATAATGAACCATGCTTGAGCCTGATTGTGCAAGTTTGGATGGATCTCAAGTGTTGGGTGATGGAGATCTGATCCACTCAAATGGTGAAGGAAAGATGTTTGGTTGCTTGGGGCCGGAGATAGTCCAGTTGCTTGGGGCCGAAGATAGATTACTTGGGACCAAAGAAAGCCCATTCTCTAAAATTTTCTTCCAATATCTATAAATAGATCTTTTGGGACTAAGGCTTGGATGTTGTTGTTGTTGTTGTTGTATCTATAAATAGATCATTAGTGAACCCTAAATAAATATCACCAGGAATTGTAAAGCATTCTCTCAGTTATAAAATCTCTCTAGTTCGCAACTTCGCAAAGTGGACCACTTTAAATTCTTGTGTTCTTCTTTAGTTCTCGCATCTTACAATCGTGTGTGTGGGTTTGTCAAAGTTCTAAATCCTAACATCAAGCCCAACTCAACCTAATCAAAAACTAACAAGCGACACTCACACAGACATGTATTCGGCTTGAGTGACCCTAATTTTACTTTGGCGATAGAGAAACAGGACTACATGTGCGCAAACACTTCAAAGGCACAAATAAATAAAGAACTACTTGCTTGTAAGCTGCATAGTCCGATGACTGGGGTCATACTGGGAAAGGAATCAAATTACCTCAGATGAATTAAGCCGTTGCTCCCACGGTTTAAAAACTGACTTCACACTTCCTCTGAGAGCCTCATTCAGAGCAGTTACCTATTGGATAAGAAACAATGAACTATTGCAAGAAAGAATCCCTTCACGCAATATGCAGAAAGTCTATGAACACTTGCAGAAAAAATGAAGGAAATAACTAGAGTAGATAGAATTGAAAGATAAGGGTTCATTCAAAGAGTTTAAATATCCCAGAAATACTAGTCACCTCATAGTTGATAGGACCTAACAACTTTTCATAAAGATAGACAAACTAATGGTAAAATTTAAATCATGGCCATACAAGCCTAAATCCTAATGTATGTTACCAAACACTATTCTCCTCAAAATAGAGCAAATTCATTCCTTCACCTCAAATAACTCATACCAAATGGGCCATTAGATAAGTAGATACATGATGGCTCGAATGGATCAACAACTCTACAGTCTACAGATTTGGTTACTACGCTGAATTCAGTATCCAGTTAACGTCACAGTAGCAGCATTTTTCATCCATTTTCAAACATGAATCATATATTCTTATAAATATAATTTGATTATTTTCAAAAAGTACGAAGTCATCCCCAAAGTGAGGAGAAATTCAAAACAAAAACTAGGGTTTTTTATTCCTATATAATTGAAGTAAAAATCCTTCCATTTCCAACGATACACAAGCAATAGTAACACACTAACACTTCCCGTTTTTGTTACAAAAACTGTGACGATCAAATAGTTAAAAGAACCAGAAACGGAGAGAGCTCATACCTTGGAGAGGTCAATGTGTTTATAGAGAGACCAGCTAGAAGAGCAATCGTGATCTCCGCAGTCGTGATCGTGAAGGCAAGAGGCCATCCTTCTCTCGTTCGCTGGCTCGCTCTAGAAAGTTTCCTTCAGGCAGTTAGCATATACTGTATGCCTATGTTTCCTCCCTTCTATCTTCTATACTTCCGGCGCAGTCCCTTAAACTTTAACCTTTTGACAAAGTTTGAAGTAAATGACTATTATTTAAAAAGTCTTTAAAAACTTCTAGTTTTATGTTTGATATGTTAATTTTTAAAAGTTTTTATAAAAATAAAAGATTTTTTTTGAGATGGTATAGTGAGTAGCTTTTAGCATTAATTAGACTTAAGAACTTGTATATCAAATAGAGCTAAATCAAATAGTCCGTTTTTACCAAACAGGTACTGCCTTTTCTTATTAAGATCTTTTCAGTTACTAAAAGCTAAAAGTTACTAAAAAAACTCATAAAAGTATATTTTCAGCTAATTGTGCCAAACATACCATATATATCCTTCAGCCATCCTCTGGCTCGCTCTGTCAACATATATGGACTGGACTCCCTCAATTAAAAATGTGTGATTTACACAAATTTTAGTAAATTTGGTAAGCACGGACGTAGTATATCAAGGCTAGCTTGGCGGGCATGGGCATAAGCCTATGTTTGGCAGACATAAGTCTCTACCTTCTAGGCTTCTAGTTTTTGTACTGTTCAAAAAGTCTCTAAAAGCTTCTAGTTATATGTTTGGCATGACAATTTTTAAGAGCTTTTCAAAAATTAAAAAAACTTTTTTGAGATGCTGCAGGGAGTAGCATCTGAAAAAAGCCCGTGACTTTTAGTATTATTTAGTCCTAACAGCTTGTATACCAAACTGAACTAAATCAAACAGTTGGCTTTTTACCAAACAGCTACCACCTTTTCTCTTTAAGATCTTTTTAGTCACTAAAAGCTAACACTTATTGAAAAACCCACAAAAGTATCTTTTCAGCTAGTTGTGCCAAACATACCCTAAAAGATACTTTTATGAGCTTTTTGGTAACTGTTAGCTTTTAGTGACTGAAAAAATCTTAAAAAGAAAAGGCAATAGCTGTTTGGTAAAAAACTGACCGTTTGATTTAGCTCTGTTTGGTATACAAGCTGTTAGGACTAATTAATGCTAGAAGCTACGAACTTATTTGAGATGCTACTCACCGTAGCATCTCAAAAAAGATCTTTTATTTTTACAAAAGCTCTTAAAAATTGGCGTGCCAAACATACAATAGCCTAAGGCTATGTTTGGCATGCATAAGTCTATGCCTTCTAGCTTTTGTACTATTTAGAAAGTCCTTAGAAGCTTCTAGTTGTATGGTTGTCATGCCAATTTTTAAGAGCTTTTACAAAAATAAAAGATCTTTTTTCAGATGTTACAGTGTGTAGCATCTCAGATAAGTCTGTAGCTTCTAGCATTAATTAGTCCTAACAGTTTGTATACCAAACAGAGCTTAATCAAACAGTCGGCTTTTTATCAATCAGCTGCTACCTTTTTATTTTAAGATCTTTTCAGTCACTAAAAGCTACTCCCTCCGTCCCCCTGTTATTGTCCCATTGCGGTTTACGATGCTTGACCGACGATAAAGCAAACAGATCCCTGTCCGCACTCAAATTATTTTTAGAAAAAGAAAATTACATATTCAGAAACTACATCAAAAGATTTACAAAGTCGCAAAAACCAGAATCAAATTTGATAAAAATTTGATACATAAAGTAAGAGATTAAGAGTGATTTGTGTTGACCAAGTGAATAGGAAATGGGACAATAACAGGGGGACGGAGGGAGTAACATTTACTAAAAAGCTTATAAAAGTATCTTTTCAGCTAGTTGTGCCAAACATACCCTAAGTCTCTGTCATGTAGCTTTTGTACTATTCAAAAAGTATCTAAAAGCTTATAATTGTATGTTTGGCATGACAATTTTTAAAAGTTTTTCAAAAAATAAAAGATCTTTTTGAGATGCTACAAAAAGTAGCATCTGAGAAAAGCCCGTGACTTTTAGTATTAATTAGTCATAACAGTTTGTATATCAAATCGAACTAAATCAAACAGTCAGATTTTTGCCAAACAGCTACGGGTATGTTTGGCACAACTAGCTGAAAAGATACTTTTATGAGTTTTTTAGTAACTGTTAGCTTTTAAGTGACTAAAAAGATCTTAAAAAGAAAAGGCAGTAGCTGTTTGGTAAAAAGCTGACTGTTTCATTTAGCTCTGTTTGGTATATAAGTTGTTAGGACTAATTAATGCTAAAAGCTACAGACTTATCTGAGATGCTACTCATTGTAGCATCTCAAAAAAGATCTTTTATTTTTATAAAAGCTCTTAAAATTTGGCGTGTCAAACATACAACTATTAGAAGCTTTTAAAGACTTTTTACATGATACAAAAGCTAGAAGACAGGAACTTATGTCCGCCAAACATAGTCGTGCAACCTTTTACTTTTTAAGATCTTTTTAGTCACTAAAAGCTAATGGTTATTAAAAAACTCACAAAAGTATCTTTTAAGCTAGTTGTGTCAAACATACCTCAAGAGTTCAAAGAGTTCAAATAAGAATGGATTTATATCATTAATAAGTAATATTGAATTAATATAGTAAGAATAAAATAAAATTGATTTAGAATCCTACACAAATTTTAGTAAATTTGATATAAGACAATTTTATTGGAACGGACCGGGGGAAAAGTGAGACAATCTTAGCGCGGGACAGAGAGAGTAATACGGAGTACTTTTCGTACATTCCAAAACCTGATTTTTCTATTTAAACAGCTTGTAAATCCCAATTTTACACGAGGGGGCTTAGAGATAGAGCTTAATACGAGACTTTCATTGGGTTTTAACCTTGAACATCAAAATTCTGGGATTGTTTGTAAGTTCTTTCTTTTTTAATTAATGAAAAATAATTCTTTCATTCTAATTTCAAACGATTCTTCAATGAATTAATTCAACTTTTAGCCCTATGAATTTTGTGTTAATTCAACATTTAGTCCACGTCTTTCACTTTCTCTACTTTTGGTACTTAACTAATGTTCCTGGTCCTTTTCCGGTGATTTTAATCACCGGAAACATTACCGGAAGGATCATAAGAGAGACCTAAATTGTTCTAGGACATTTTCACATACACTTAATCACCCACTGAAAGATTAGCACAGTTAGGGAGGCATACACTCGCTCGCTTTGACAATGGTTTAGAAACTTGTCGCATGAGAGGTAAACCTTGATCTCTAAATTATTTTACTCTACGTCGTGAAAGCGGTACGAACTTAATATTGACTTGTGTTGTTCAATTAAATAATTTTGATTTGATTAAACCTGATGAGGCTCAAAATTTGACTATCCCGGAATCAATCTATGTTCTCTTTCTGTCATTAATTCAAAAGAGCCTTTTAATTTAGTTGTATTTTCTGTTGCGTTTAATTCCAAAAACAATCTCGCAGAATCAAATTTATTTTATTTATTTTAATCGCTAAATTTATTTATTGTTTAATTCACCTTTTCTATCCTCGTATACATGATCCTCGTACTTATACCCTATGTTGTTGCATGTATTTGATTTGCTAGAAAACTCAAATCAAATCCGTAATTATTTCTTCAAATAATGACATAGTATAGTATCTGACTAGTTTAACCCCATAGTTAAATTACAACTGTGTTCACCAAACGCTTAAATAAGGTGGTTAAATCAATAGAACATATCGGTGGGTCAATCACATATCAATGCGTCAATCACATATCAAATTAAGGCATAGTATTAGTATTTGGGAGTTTTTTTTCTATACTAATACTCTTCGGTTCTTAATTAAGTTTAGATTTTGACTTCAGACATATTAGGGAAATAAATTTAATGAAAGGAAAATTTTACTGCAGAGTACACTGTTTTGACATTATTTGGCACTGTTTAACACTGTTTTGCACTGTTTGGTGTAGATTTGTTTGCCAAATAAGACAAATAAGGAAGTGTAAAGTTTAATATGAAACGGTCCAAAAAGAAAAATGTAAAGTTAAATAAGAACCGGATGTAGTGTTAAAGAAAATTTATTTACGAAATCATACTCGAGTAGTCGAGTTAAATATATGTGTTGTCAAATTGGTGTGTTTAATCAGAAAATAAAAAAATTAATTAACTAAAATAGCCAAGGAAAACACAAAACAAGAAGGGATAGAAAGCCAAAGCTCTTGTAACCCACAATTTCCTTAAAATGTATTCGCTGCCTCTCACGGTGCTGGGAGCGTTGCAGCGATAGTTTCCCAGAATACGGTGGCTACGAACAACCGTATGAGCACACAATCAGTTGTCCCCGGTGAATGGAAACAATGCAAGAACAACAAATAAATTTTCAGAAAGTTGGAGGTGGTTTTACCTCAAAAACTACGTATAGACTATGTATGTTTCGTGTATTGCACATGCCAGCTATATATAGGGATGTGATTTGTTGTGCAGTAAGTTACATGTGATGTACCAGAACGTTGGACATCAATAACCCAAACGTTGGGCATCAAAAGTTGTAACGGTTCAGCAGCAACCTGCTAGTGACCGTTGAATAGCGAGCCGCAGTCTGCTAGCGGGCTGGTTCCGCTAGAGAAAAAATATGAACATTATGGGAAGAAACAAAAATTGAATTTTATCCATGTGAGATAGATTTTTGGATAACAGTCGTATTTGCAAGTCACAATTTTTCTTCTCCGTTTTCGAGATTTATCGACACCCCCTTCCCCCGCACGCCACAGAGAGCTTTTCCACAAAGAAATTTCAACTCTTTCAAAGAGGGTAACCTTTATAAGGGGTGAAAATCCTTTGAGTTTTTCAATGTGGAATAAATCACACTAGAAATTCATTCTTTTCCTAGTTTTCTCCATTTCAACGAGTGAACTTCGAGAATCAATTTATTTTTCACCAATTATTTGTTTTGAGTGTACCATATATCGGATCGAAGCCCTAAACAAGGCGAACCTGAAACCAATTTAACCTTAGCCAAATCGAAAGTGAGAGCCACTCAAAATTCTGCCCGAAATTGACTATTTAATGCAAATTTAACATATTTTTTTGATCCCTTTACGGTGCTATAACTTTTATATGCTTGCTTCAATTTTTATAAAATTTGCATAACCTTTTGGGAAAATGGAAATTAATAATTCAACCTTTTAGCGGGTTTCTTACGATAGTCTCACTTTATCTTAATCAACAATAATCCAATCTTTGCACTCCATATTTATTCGCTGGTCCTTGATCGATTGATGACCTGCTTATTCCAGGTTTTTTCATTTTCTTTACAAATCATTTAACTATAAATTTCATCTTCTACAAATCTTCTTGAAACGGTCCCATATGATTTTTATTTTTTCTTCCTAAAACTTTTCTTTCCTTTTTATATATTTCTATTCGTTGTAGTCTCTTTTTATATTTTTTTCGGGCTACTTGTTTGCAATTTTTTTCTTTGATTTTTTTAGAAAAGGGGAAAAAATAGGGGACATTCCTCAAATTGTATTTAACGAAACATTAATTGCAAGAATATCAGTATAATTTCAAAATTCCTTAAATAGGACTAACTTTGTAATTCTATCCTTGCTTTGTTTAGTGCAATTCATATTTCATGAATAATTGAAACATAAAAGTAAGTGCATAACCTTATTTATAACAAAAATGTAGAAAAAAAATATTAAATAATTATTAAAACTAAAACATTAGAAAATGAAAATTATAAAATTAAAAACTCAAAATCTTAATGTAAAAAAAATATATGCAGGCATCTGCTACTGCTTCAACAACCTCTCAACACCACCAACTCCGACCACCATAAAAAAATGCAAACATGTGTTAGTATTGCCACCTTGATGACAATTGTGTAGAAAATTGTGGCATTTCCAAAGAGTAAAAATGTCATATTTATGGCATTTTTTGAGAAAAAAATGCAGTGCTTACACAAAATTCCCTGATCGGAGTTGACATTGCCGGGAGGTGGTGAGGTTGCGGGAAAGATCTCCATTTTTTTATATGTTTAATGTGTTTTATCTATTTTTATTTACTTTTAAAGTTTTCTTTAAATTATTTTTTATTACTATTTATTATTTTATTATTTTTAGAAAATAGTGTTAACTTCTTTTTATTTTTGTACTATACTTTTATAAATTGAAATACTTTTTATTATTTATCTTTTTTATTATAATGTAAAATATGATTATCCTATTAAGTTATGGTAATGGTAGAAATGTAGAATATGAAGATAGACTGTACTTTAGTCCTATTTTGGGAAGATAAATAACATAGTTCTATTTATGCATTTAGAAATTAGTTTAGTCTTATTTTAGGGCTATTTTCTCAAAAATATATTAGTGATGGAATAAAGGTAAGAAAAGGAAAAATGAAATAAATAGGTGTAAATAAAAAGAAAGTAAAGTAAAAAGATAGTACAGTGAGAAAAAGATCTTATATAAGAAGGAAACTAATCCGAAAATATATATAAATGAAAATGAAATAATAAACGGGAAGAAGAAATCGAAGGAAAAATGGAATACATAAGCATTGAAAAAAATTGAAAAGAAATAAAAATAATAAGACAAAAAAGGTGAATAAAAGAATCAAGACGATAAAAATAAAAAAGAAAAAGTTTTAGGGAGAAAAAAGAAAAATGATATGTGGGACCGCTTGAAGAACATTTGTGAATGGTGGGATTTATGATTGAATAATTTGCAAAGAAAATGAAAAAACCTGGAATAACAGGTCATCAATCGGTCAGGGATCAGCGAATGAAGATGAGGTGCAAATGTTGGATTATTCCTGAATTACGATAATGTGAGACTATTGTAATAAAACCGCTAAAAGGTTGGATTAGTAATTTACATTTTGTCTAACTTTTTATTAATATTGCATAATTGTTTTACAAAATTTGAAAAATATGTACTCACCCCGTCAATCCATTTCCTCCTTGCGATCTAGCAAAATCAATATTTTCACAAAATCAATATATATTTACCATAAATGTACATTTATGCTTATACATCAAGCAAAATCAATATTTTCACAAAATCAGTATATGTTTACCATAAATGTACATTTATGCTTATACATCAAGCTTTTGTCAATATTTTTAACAAAAATGTGAAGATCCAGCTTTTTAGGCTATCTTTTTGAAGTACTCCTATATCTAAAGCAAACCCCAGGCCAGTAATGAGTGTAAGCAAGACGTGTAAGCAACCCGTTTCCCTACTCATTCTTTTTCGCCAATTAGAGGGATAGCTTTGCTTCAAGACAACATATTTCGTATTTTCCAGTATAAATCAATTATTCTGTATAATATTGCAATTTGCAAATGGATATTATAGATTAAGTTCGAGAATATAAAAAGAAAGACAGTCGATACTGCACAATGATTTTCTTCTATATCTCATGTCTACATTTTCAATTAAGTCCATCTATTTGCAAAGTCAACGTATTTTGTCAAATTCGGTTAAAGTTAAATGTTACCTATTCATATTTAATTCAATTTTAATAATTAAAACATACATATTCAGAAGTTTGATTAAAATCTCTATAAAGTTGCAAAATTAAAATTAAAACTTAGAAATAATTCCACAAATATTATTCTTTAAAATGTGATGATGAACAAAAATATTACTTAGTAAATATTAGTGACTACAATTGTGTTCAACATTTACATCAAAGTAACTAAATCTTTGTTACTGTAATGTAAGTTTCAAACACAATCATAGTCACTGATAGTTACTAAGTCACATTTTTGTCTATAACATTTTTATTAATAACATTTAAAGAAAAACCCTTAAAATTGATTCAAAGAAGTCAATTTTGCAATTCAATTTGGGATGGAGTGAATATATATATGTAGCACATAAACATTGTATCACTTTCATATGGATTTTGTCTTTCAATAACTGTGTCAATGACACTTTGATTTTTCATTTTTAATGCTTTAAATGTTATGTGTGCTCAATTAGCAAAGCGATTTGCTATAGGATGCTTTAAATGTCATCTACTTTTCTCATAAGCCATCTTTTTTCTCAAATCATATATGACGTTATTGATAGCTCGCCACCCTCCTGAACCACCACCATTGATTGGAAGAGGGTTCTATATTTTTATCAGACTGGTGCATTTCAGATTGGAATAAAATTCATTGATGTTCTGTCGAGCGCAACATATCTACAGATCTTCTGGAATAAGGTGAGGGTGCTAAGGCTATATAATTGGACAAGGGTGGCTAGATTCAACCCGTATTTACAATTTTGCTTATTTATGCACTTTTTATTATTTTTTGCTCGTTCGTTTTAAATCTTGTAGAGATGTCATAATGTTTTCATACGAGGTTAGATGCATAGAGATCGATGTGATTAGATCTAGAATTATCTCGAGTCTATTGTAATGATGTTTGATTTATTAATTTTAAATTTTAATATAAGTAGCTTTTCATTCAAAAAAATTGGAATGCTCCAAAGATTTTTTTGATTCCTTTTAAGGAATGATTCGTATAGTTACAAATTCATTCAATCAAACAACCACAACAATATATTTTTACTTCATTCTCTTCTTATGAATAAAATGTATAGTTACAAATATATTTTTACTTCAAACAACCACTTTATGTAAAATGTGCCAAGGTTTTTTGGCAGGGATGGATGGTTATACTCCATCCGTTCCATAAAATAAGTCACATTTTCTTTTTTGGGTCGTCCCAAAACATTGTTCTCATTTCTTTTTTTGGAAAGTTCTGCGTGACTAACATTCATTTACATTTTTCTTACTCAATCACAATCATACATTTTCACTTTATTCTCACTTTTTAAAAATCCGATCCAAATTGAAGCGAGACTTATTTTATGAGACGGAGGCGCTAATACATTTGTAGTTCATTTTTTCATGTGCTTGGGGCTGAAAAAGTCAATCTGTTATAGTGTTATGGAAACATGAATAAGTGAGAGTTGACCGAAGATTAGTGAAATAGAGCAAAAAGAAGAGCGGAACTTACGGAGTAATAAATTAAATAACCCGCAGCTAGGCGATTCAACTCAATTAATTAAATGCAGTGAAAAGTGATGCAGTGATGGACGGAAGGAAGGTCATTGTCGGTAGAATCATAACACTCCGTTGAAAACGTTCCGTCGTCTATATAAAGCAAGCAAATCAAAGGATAACGAACCAACGAAAATATCTCTTCCTACTCCGTTAGTTAGAATATACGCCGCCGTACTCGCTACGGGTCCACAAGCAGATTAATAATATCTCGCCGTCGTTACGATGGTTCGCTGCGCCGCCGCTGCTCTCCTCATCCTCATGTTCTCGATCATCGCCGCCTCCGACGCCCGCAGCTTCCTGAAACTGCCGTCCGACGCCGCTAGGTTCTTCCGCCCCGCCGCAGAGGAGAGCAGAGGAGCTGACCCCGTGGGAACTCGGTGGGCGGTCCTTCTAGCGGGATCCAATGGTTATTGGAACTACCGCCATCAGGTGATTTGATTTCTTTCATATTTCTGCAAGTGTTTTTTTTTGGTTTTGCGATCAAAGCCTTTCCGTGGCAGTTAAGGAACCTAGCTTCCCCAACAAGTTAACTTCTTCTTGACGCCACTCGTACTTTATTTTAAACCTAGCTTATTTCACGCCTCTTCTTCTAACTACTTTTTCGAATTTGTTCTTTCACTGTTCTTTTCTTTGACGTGTTCAATCCAAAGACGGCACACGGTAATTAAGGGATGAGGAATTTTATACATACAGTGCATCTTTTCGGCAAATAACTCACTAGCGAAGCTGGCCCCCACCACTGCCTGCCATAGTACTAACCTTTGCCTACCAAATAATTCTAGTTTAGGAATGAAACATACCGTATCTTCGGTTGGGGCCATTAACTGAATTACAGAGTTAGCAGATCCAAGGCTGTATTTTTTTGAAGATAATTGTTTTTTGTTTTTTGGTTACTTGTTTGAGACGAACAAGGACTGTGATTGTCTTTTTGATATTTTTCCAGGCTGATATATGCCATGCCTATCAGTTATTAAAAAAAGGCGGCCTCAAGGATGAAAATATAGTTGTATTTATGTATGATGACATTGCGCACAATGAAGAGAACCCCAGGAAAGGGATTATCATCAACAGCCCTCATGGTGGCGATGTTTATCAAGGAGTTCCTAAAGTAATTTTCTACCCTCAAACATCAACTAACTAGCGCGCACACACACATATACACACACAACCTTGAAGGTCTCTCTTACATGGTCTAATTTTATGGGGCAGGATTACACAGGGGATGATGTTACTGTTAGCAACTTTCTTGCTGTTATCCTTGGAGACAAAACTGCTGTTAAAGGCGGTAGCAAGAAGGTTGTTGATAGCGGTCCAGACGATCATATATTTATTTATTATTCTGATCATGGTGGCCCTGGTGTTCTTGGTTAGTATCTACAGAGTATTTTCTAATGCTTTGTTCTGTTACAACTTACAACCTGGGTGCTGGTTTCGTTTTTTCACAGTATTTTTTTAGCCACATTAAAAGAGTTCTTTAATTTTAGTGAGGTACAGTACTGGAAGCCTCCAATTGGAGCTATATATTTAACTTTCTTTTATTTGTAAAACTAAAGTTAGCATATTTAACTTGTTTGGAACACCTTTATTTTTTGGGGAAAATTACATTGGATTAAATGAAAATTAGATTCTTATGTTGAAACAAGACTTCTTTTTTAGACAAAGATAAGTATTGAGTTGGCTTCTTTTGTTTGTAAAACTAAATTAAGCGTACATAACTTGTTTGTAGTACTTTTTTGGGAAAAATTACATTAACTTCAATCTTTTGTTGAAACCAGTCTTTTTTAAAAACAAAGATAAGTTTTGATTTAGGTTCTTTTATTTGTAAAACTAAATTTAGCATATTTAAATAGCTTGTCTCAAACACTTCCTTTTTTTGGGAAACTACATTAATTTCAATGAAAGTTAGCTTGTTTTGAGGAGACAGGACTATTTTTTGACAAGGTAAGTTTTGAAACAACTGTTTTTTTGTGATGGATCTAACCTATATATGCATAAGTATTCAAGGTATTATCGTACATGAAATCCTTAATATCACCTTCTTGTAGCAAGGTCATGTCAATATCAGCTCAGTATCCTATTATTACTCATCATTGGTCTCTACTACCATTTCCGTCTTAGTGGTCCCTCTCTGTCCAGTTTTATTTTCTCATTCTGGGGTTTTCTTTCAGTTCTTTGTAGAATTGAAACTATTTGCAACACCGATGCACTAAACACATGTCAACTAGTACTTGTCTCATTCTAGGACCTAGGTAATCTGGTCAATGCTTTAATTCGTATATTCTGATTATCAAGTGGCAATATAAATGCAGGTATGCCCACCAGTCCTTATCTCTATGCTGATGAGCTGAATGCTGCCTTGAAAAAGAAGCATGCTGCTGGAGCATATAAAAGTTTGGTAATTATTCTGTATTATATTAAATTTATTGGCCTTCCCTTACTAGTTCTGTATAATATCATTTAAAACTCTGAATGTTTTGGGGTTGTCGTTTAATACTAGGTATTCTATCTAGAGGCGTGTGAGTCTGGGAGCATCTTTGAGGGTCTTCTGCCTCAAGGTTTAAATATTTATGCAACAACAGCTTCAAACGCTGAAGAAAGTAGCTGGGGGACATACTGTCCAGGAGAGTTTCCTAGTCCTCCTCCAGAATATGAGACTTGCTTAGGTGATTTGTATAGTGTTGCCTGGATGGAAGATAGGTACTCATGTTCATTATTTGCTTCTTTCCCCCATCAAAGCCCCCCCCCCCCCCCCCCCCCCACCCACATTATCTACCCATCGATAGATCTTCAATATGGATGATTGCTACGTCATAAAAATTTATCCTGCTTTCGTACCAGTTGTTTGTTTGAGGTGTGATAATTTCATTTTATTAATCTATACCTACCTGAGGGGAAGTGAAAGTGATAATATACAAAGAAATAGTGAAATGCTCTGTCCGTCCTAAAAAAGTCTTGATTGGTCAATGGAGAGATTTTTAATTTTGACAAGGTACAATTCTTTGAAATCATGGAATGCAATTATGTTTTCAAATTGTTTATTTCAGATTAATCATATTGATTTAACTTGGATTTTTTTTCTGTTTTCATGGGAAATTAGTTTCATTTTATAAAATATATGAGTATTCTTTTGAAACATGATTATTATAAGAACATACACCTTCAAAAAAGCTTTTGAAACACGAGTACATAATTTATAACTAAAGATATTGTCACGCTTTGATGTAACAGTGGAATACCAATTTATGGGGATAAATGGGTAAACCTATATCATATTATCACTCTTCCCCTTAAAAGTACCCAAACCAAACAAGGCTTGTCCTGTCAAAGCTAGATATAGTGATTCATAACCTTGTGCTCAAATACCATATCGTATGCAGTGAGAGAGAGGGGTATGTCTTATTGTCAGCAAGTATATTCATTTTTCTGTAGTGATGCTTATAATGTCTTATATTCATGACCAGTGACAAACACAACCTAAGGACTGAATCGCTGAAGCAGCAATATCGCCTGGTAAGTGCTCACAGGAACATGGTTTGAACTCCTTGATCGATTTAATGAGATGTGTGGTTCAAATATCAGAATTTGCATTGGAATCATAATTAACATATTGTTTGCTAGTGAACATGATTTGAAACCAACATAGTGGTGGATAATTGCAATAAGCAGTTAGTACAACTGAATTGGAAAGAAAATATTGAGCGTCATAAGGCTCAAATTTTTTTGAGAGTTCTTTCCTTTTATTTGTTTCTTGGTCTTTACATAAAGCTCATTGGATGATTTCGTGTATATACTATCTTCTTTAATCCAAAAACAAATATATCATTGGACATTCACATACACAGGTGAAGGATAGAACTCTCAGTGGTAACTCTGCCTATGGATCCCACGTGATGCAATATGGAGATCTAGACATCACCAAGGATTCCCTTTTCCTGTATATGGGTACGAATCCTGCAAATGAGAATTACACCTTTGTGGATGAAAATTCACTGAGATTTTCAAATAGGGCGGTGAATCAGCGTGATGCAGACCTTTTGCATTTCTGGGACAAGGTTAGCTTTATCGCATTCAATAATAATATGTCACGAAGTGTATGGAATAAGGGCATGTTTAGAATTCGGAATATTCTAGGAAACGGAAAATTGAAGGGAAATTTGATCAATTTCAAAGAAGCTGACAACTTTCATCTCATTACTTGCAGTTGCGCAATGCCCCAGAAGGCTCTGCAAGGAAATCTGAAGCTCAGAAACAGTTCACAGAAGCCATTTCACACAGAATGCACTTGGACAACAACATTGTGCTTATCGGGAAGCTCTTGTTTGGAATTGAGAGAGGTCCTAAGGTGCTGAACAAGATCCGTGATCCAGGCCTACCCCTCGTCGATGACTGGAGCTGCCTCAAGTCATTTGTAAGTGTACTTGATACACTTTTTAGGAGGATGTTCTTCTTTTGAGATATGCATGGGTCATGGATGTCTTATATGATGCCACCTGGAAACTTCTCGGAGTAGTATTTATGGAAACATATTAGAAACTGAAGCTCTCAGCAACTTTCTTGAAATGTATGGGGTGTTTCTTCAATCCTCATGTTTATTAAAAAAAAATCAAATTATAGAACTTATTTGTGACGGGTGAAATAAATAAAATACCCTAAACTTTGTATATGTGTGATATCCTTACCCCAAACTTGTCCATATTGTACAAATATCTCATACTTTGTAAAATTGAGATATTTATGCTCCATGTCCTACCAAACCATCTAAGGAAGCACACATTTTTTGGGAATCACACATCATTTTTTGCCAACTAAATCTAATTAACATATTCTAATTTGAGAAATATTATTTGTTAATTAAAATATGGTACAAAAAAATTAAATAAATAAAGTTAGGGGTATTTTTTAAACTAGGACAAGTTCGGGGTGGGGAGCTCACACCAAGGCAAAGTTCGGGGTATATTATTTGTTTTCCCCTATTTGTGACATCCATAACTTTAAGAAACTATTACATGATTTACAATTGAGTTTTTTTACAAATGAGTTAATACTGTAATAGTGTTTAAAAAAATGAGGATTCAGTACTAGTGTTTTTTGTACATATGTGTACGGTGTACCCATGTATTAGTGTATATGTATACATCATACATGATTGCATGTACATAATAATATAAATGTGTGTACATACACATAAAACTTGCATGCATACCCATATGCACTTTATAATTTCAAGTTTCTCCCATTCCATTTAGAGTTTCTTGGATATCTGAAAACAGTTTCGGTTCATCATATTGTGTTGTTTTATAATTGTCTATCCGGTTCCAGGAGCCTTGGGGGGTGTCTTGGGTTTCTTCTTCTCAAAGTGTTTTTTGTTTAATATAGAACACCGAACACGGGGTCAACCATTGTATTGTATGCACATGCAGGTGAGAACTTTTGAGCAGCACTGCGGGTCGTTGTCACAATACGGGATGAAACACATGCGTTCAGTTGCTAACATATGTAATGCGGGGGTCAGGAAGGAGGAGATGGCGGAGGCATCAGCCCAAGCTTGCCCCACCTTTCCTTCCAACACTTGGAGCTCTCTCCACAGAGGGTTCAGTGCATAAGTTCCAGTGAAATGTTTGGGGTTATACACATCACTTATAATTTTGTATAATGGCAGCTTTACTGCTTTCATATGCATACCAGAAATGTCCTATCCTCTATGTAAAATCTATGTCAATACCTCTTCATCGCAATGCATCTAATAGCCACTCTCCTCTGTAAATAGTCTTTACTGAACCTATAGTAAAACCTTTGTAAAATTCTTCCTAGTGGTTTTAATGTTACTTTTGCCTATATCTCTTGATTTTTTGTTTGTATGAGAAATCTCAATTTGGGTTGTGGAAAGTAATTTGAGATTATACAGTAGTTTATCAGTTTGAGAAACTCTTATTTCGCGACCAACACCATGGGTAGGGTGATCATGGTCCCGATTTTTGAACCAAGATCGGAAAATAAGGTTTTGGTCCATGACGGAGATCGAGCCAATAGGAAAGAGGCCCTGGTTCAGGTCTCGCTTTTCGGGACCAGCCGGTCTTATCCTAGTTACGGTCTCACTTTTTTGCATTCAAATCATTGGGAAACATTTGGAAGGGGTGTGGTCCATTTAAAAGGCAAAAAAAATGTAGGTTGGGGTGGGGAGAGGGAATGAGGGATGGTATAAGAAATAAAAAACTGGGAATGAAGTCTGGCTGGAATTGAAAGTATAGGTCCCGCCATCCCAATTAGGGTTGGACCCGGGCCGGGACCGGGCGGGTTTTTTTCCCAGATTGTTGGGCCCGTAATCGGCCCGGGTTGATACCGGGTCCGGGTCTAACTGGGCTTGGCCGGGCCGGGCCGGGCCCCGATCTATGTAATTTTTTTTTTGCTTTCTACTTAACACCCTACCCTCCCTCACCCCACCCTCAAACCTCCCCAAAACACCCAGTCCTACCCATGGAAAAGAAAAAAAATTGAAAAAACCAAAAATAAAAAAATGAACCGGGCCCGGCCCGAACCGCCCGGGCCGGTTCAACAAAAATAGGACCCGAGCCCGGCCCGCCCACACGGGCTAAAAGCCCGGAACCGGCCATCCGGTCCGGGTCCGCACAGTAGTGGGCCGGTCCGGTTCACGGGCCGATTTGGCCCGGTTCGGTCCATCCCTTATCCCACTATGGAGTCTCCTTAATTCTTTTGGACCATCGTTCTAGGACATGAGTCAACTCGAAGTTGGCGGGTTTAAGAATTCCGTTGTAAATTGTAATTAAAAGCGAACTTGATATGAATAATCGTTCATTAGTTCATATTTTAAAGAAATACCTCAACATATGGGATAATTGGATTTTTCAAATAATAGTACTCAAAGAGCTGCTATGGACAAAAATATGACAACTTTTAGAAAAAAACAAAGATTTATGTGATTTTTATGCCCTTTGAATCAAAGTGGCTACTACCCAATGAGTCAATGATCATTTCTAGTTAGTCATGATCAGTGACAACTTCACATATATGACAACTTTAGTTCAATTTTAAATAAATATAAATTCAATTATTTGAATTCGTCATATATGTGAAGTGATTTTAATTATATCTCATCCAGAACCTTTATCTTTTCAAAGTTCAAACTTGATATCTCAAACAAGAAGAGTTTCCAACCATTCCCCCCCTTCCCGTCCAATGACTAACCTTCATAACATTCCCATCCTCTTCCCTTCAAACTTCCAAACATACCCTTAGGCACTAAAAACATTAAACTAGACTCTAAACAAGACCTTCGAACTCCGACACCAAATAAATATGAAGCTTTGTTCAACCACTTCTCTTTAATTTATATTTTCTCATTTTGGATGAAAATCGTGTACTCTTATTGAATTCTACATCCTCACAAAATAATTAAACTAAAGATGAATCGCTGATCATTCAAGAGACATGAAGATTAGATCGACTCTAAGAGTCCCGCTACAATTCTCTCCTGTATGTCATCATCTCCTTTGCTGATCACAACCGTCCAAATACCTCATCACAAACGGATGTCAATTTCGTTATTTTTTGGAGTGAAGCTAAGGCCTGTAAGTTATTTCTGTACCAATGTGTTTATATCTAATTTTCTTCTGGTAACTTTTTTGTTAATAAATTATTAATTTGACTGATGAGTTTATTTGAGGTTAGATTGAACATAGCATTATATTAATTCCGACAAATACTCCGTAATAAATTTGCGGTGTATCGTATTGTTCATTTGTTTGTAGTATGATAAATTACGGAAGTATTGCATAATGTTTGATCCGTTATGTAATTCACATTAAAAACTTACGACATCAGGTTTGAATAATTTTAAGATCCTTATCTATTTTCCCAACATGGAAGGCAAAATAACATTTTTTTATAATTTACCATTGGAAAAGAGGTATGTTATATTTGGAGAAATTAAACCTACATTAGATTGGAGTATTTTGACATGCACTCACAAAATTAATTAATTTAATACGGACTATTTGTTTTTAAAACAACAAACTCAAGTCTACTATATATATATATATAGCATCCAAAATATTGCATCCAAAGATCTTAATTCATAACGAGTTCTCTATTTTGTTACACGAACAAATTTATAATTTATTTCATGTGTTCATATAGCTGGATTTTTAATTGAGTTTATATTTTTTGAAAATGCGCATCCTGGAATGTTTGAGATAGGCAAGCCTCAGCTTGTGTGCTAGTTGGGCCTAATCAAAGTTACAAAGATGAGACGAGAACATTAGCCCAATTCACAGTGGAAATAGCCCACTGTTTTGTAACCCAAAAATTCCACTGCTCTGGCATTCAAGGACTAAACCCTGTAGATTACTTTCTATTTTCCTAAGAAAAGCCCGTCTACGGAATCTGCCATCACCGCCCACTTGCGGGGAGACATTACGGCGTCTCTACTCTCACCTCCCAATACCATTTATGATATGGCGACGAAAACAGGTATGGTGTGTGTATAGATATATACAGTGCGAATTTCTCTTTTACTGTTTTTCGTAACCAAATGCTATTTCCTCTCTTACACTTTGGAACGCTTTATTTTTCATTTTCAACAATTCACTTTGAGCTATTAAATGGCCGCGTTTTTGCTTTTACTTAGAAGTTCGATGAGTAAACTTTCGTAATTGCTTCAGTCATCATTCATACTTGCGAATAATTGAATAACTTTGCAGTGAAGTTGAGGTGGTTCTTGACGGATTAGGTCCCGTCTGGTTTCACTTAGATCCCTTTTTTTACTTTTCCTTCTCATAGTCTATTTAGTGATTTTCGTGCTTTACTTAAAATGAAAATAAAACTATTTAAGTGAAATGTGAATTTCAAATAAGTTGATTCTAATTTGCTCCTAGGTGATGAAGTCGAGGAGGATGAAAATGTATTTCCTTCAATTCCTGTACATATTGTGACTCAACCAGGGCAACTGCCTGTTGAATTTTTGGAGCCTTCTCCCGAGAGCCAGTTTGCGGTTGGTTTTGATTGTGAGGGTGTTGACCTTTGCCGCAATGGGACTCTTTGTATTATGCAGGCAGGTGACCTCAATTTGTCATTATGATTTGGAGTTGTGAATATATTCTACTACTCTTGTTTTGCTTATGCCCGTTTTAGTATTACTGTTACATAAGTAAGTACTAGCTTTTGGTTTAGTTTGATGTAATTAACGTTACAAAACACTTTTTCTTCCAGAAAATTCTGACAAATGGCTCTTATAGAACTTGCACTTGACATTCCAATTTATGTGCATGTTTGGTAGACATACGTCCCTATCTTCTAGCTTTTAAACTATTTGAAGAGTAGTTCAGAGCTTCTAGTTGTATGTTTGGCCTAACAGTTGTTATGATTTTTTTTAAAATAAAAGTTCTTTTACGAGAAGTTACACTGAATAGCCTTTGATAGAACGTCTGTAGCTCATATTAGGCATACTTCGTATAAATGGTTAAAGTAGTGCCCAAAACAAAAAATGTCCCAAGTGACTGTGCTAATACAACTGTTCTTCAATGACGCTACTTTTTCTTCCCCGTTTAGTTCCAATAACTTTTATAGAACTCAAGCAAATTAGATCGAAGTGATCACAGTGCAGTGTATGCATAAAATATATGATATTTTTTCTATTTCGATTTAATCCTATAATAAAATGCTACGGAGTATATTTTAAAAAATAAAAATAAATAACTATATTTCTTAGACACCTTTGCCCCTGGAAACTATGAACACTTATACCAAACAGAACTACATCAAACAGTTAACTTTTTATGAAACAACCACACTCTTTTCTTTTAATACCTTTTCAGTCACTATAAACTAATACTACCTCCGTCCCGGTGTCCCACTAACATTGGTACAAGAGGAGGTTGTGTGGTTACCAGGAAAAGTAAGTTTATGGGGTTGATATTAAATTGATAAAGTGAGATTAACGCATTATGTGCCAAACATACCCTATATGTTTGATACGGTTTTTATGCATGGAAATTGAAATATCTAGTGACATTGTACAAATTGGAAGCTAAATCAAAAATAAAAAACAGAAACAATTAAAAAATTAAAAAAATAACTGGTTGTTTACCCGTAAAAAATGAAATTTGAACCATTTTTTGTCGATTCGGGGTGTGAATCAAACCTTTTTTAGTTCAGGGACTGAATTGAGCTCACACGACCGGTACAAGGGCCTATTTGACCCTTTAGCCTTATAAAAATAAATCCTTTATGCAACAAGAGAGAAAAAATATGTACCCAAAATTGTATTAATGAGTATTATTTTTACGGTTGTAGGCTTCTGTTTCTTCAATCTTTGACCTCTTGTTTTACTTCCATTCTTTTATCCTCGTTATGAGATGTTAAAAGTTCTTAAAAAATCTGTAGCCCAGACCTCACCTTAGTCCTAAATGTTGAGATCGGTGATATGAAACTTGTAGTGTCAATCAAGTGTCTTAAATTGGTCAACTCTCAACATTATAAACTTATGCAAAACAACGTTGTGCTTAGGACTCTGGCAGAGTAACACTGATAATAATAATAATAAATAAGAGTAATAATAATATTAGAATAGTTAGTGTAAATAGAGGGTGAGGGGAGAATAGAAAGGAGGTTGGAATTGTTATTTGGGTTTGGGACTTGGAGAGTGGGCACTCTTAAACTGCCTTTTGTATTTCTCTCTCTACATTTTCCGTTATACGACACTTTCAGTTCATACACATCTCTTTTCTTCTTCATGTTTCTTGAAATTTATTGTATATTAGCTAAGTACCTAACATTCTTATGGCAGATGCCTTTTATGTGTGCTCTACATTGCTTGAAAGCTTTTAACTATTTTGTTCACAGATTGCCTTTTCAGATGCAATATACTTGGTTGATGCCATTGAAGGCGGAGAGTCTCTGATCT